CCAAATTCGTAAACGTCAAAGTTTTACATAAATATATTTTTTATGGATGACATTTGAATGAAACCTTGAAATGATATGGCTTTCATCATCGGAAAGCTATTTGAACCTTTTTGACGAATTAAACACGTAACTATTATACTGAAATCTATCACGAAACTGTTACTGTTACCTTTATCAAAAATAAAATTTTAAGACCAATTTTTAGCATTGTTGTCTTGCATCAATGAACTTTTTTCAACTTTGTTTTAAGATGATGGCAAGCTCGCTGGCAGTTCACCTGATGTTAAGTGATAACCGCTGCTCATGGACATTTACACCACCCGTATGGCGTAAACCTTTTAAAAAGGCGCCCGGTTACCACACTCACCAGACGAAACGCAGAAGTATAACACTTCCACTTTAGGTCGGTCTTCTATAAGGTCGTGGTACTTCCCCGGATGAAACGTATTCCCCGGATGATAGCACTAGGCTTAATTTAATTACCTATTATGGTGATTACATCCAAAGTGAATATTGCTCTGATACTAAATCATACCATTACAGTTCGTGTGCCTCCTTGGCACTAACCTCATGCAAATCTTTTATGACTTCATCCTTCCATCGATATCTTCGAGGATTCCGACCAGCGACAGGAGACAACCTGCTGATAATTTTATGGCCTTAGTAGTGTTGGCAGAGGGACTTACTAGCCGTGACAGACGAAACGACAGCCAGTAAATGTGATGTAAGGCTGGCCTTAGAGTAAACAAATTAACCGTTCATAGATGTTCAAAAATACCCTCCATCCAGTACATACAGTCAACATTACTTACATCCATCTCCTTTATCCTCGACACCAGCAAATGCACATAACTCGGTTTTTAACAATATCTTGTTTGCGTTTTCTTCAACTATTTTATGGCTTTTATTTTTTGTATAGCGACTTCTTTTTTTAATTGATCCTCTAATTCTAAGTGGTTTTCTTTCTCTATTTCATTACTCCAGTTACAGTTACAGTCTTTTCCATTGCCGGAAATGATATTAAGTTAGTTGGGTTTTTTTATTATTTTATGGAATATTTATGTAACAGAATATTAGGCTTGCTTTCTACCTCTTTTCGCAATAGCTTTTTATTTGCTTTATGGGCACAGTTATTATTTATTACGCATTATTTTATGTTCATTGTTTGTGAAACACCCATCAACACACACCAACTACCCACATTACCCAAAAATTCGAGAATTGATCAACCAACTTACTTGCATATTAAAACCTACAACAGGAGCTTCAGAAGCAAATTCAGACAATTGAGGATTTTTTTGAGAAATGCTTTTAGTTTTGATTATTAAATGGGGCAAATGTAATATGGGTCTTATTCTTCTACATCAGAAATAACTTTATCCTTTGGGCCTAAACGAACTTTCAAGTTTTAGCTAGTGAAGGCGTCATTTAACTTCTCACGAATCATTTTTACCTGTCCACTTTACTTTCCAAGGTCGCCTAAGGGATGGAATATGTTTTCGTCTAACCGCACTCTCCCATTGGACGATTTTTAAGTTTTTACCAAATCCGGGTTTCAGTTCGCTTTTTGGTTTGGACACGAACTTTCAAGATTTTAATATAAATCAAGTAAATACCGGATTTTCAACATACGCGTTCTCAGAAAACGGTCATGTAAAAGTAATATTTTATGTTTCTTTGACCGTTTATTTTAAACGTTCGAACAAAATCTGCGCTCCTACACTTGTTTCTTTTCATATTTGTGGATTAGTATGTGCAAATTGGAGGATACCATGGACTACTGGGTCGAAGCAGTATCATTGTATTATTGTTTATATTCTTTTAATTATGTAATATAATTTATAGTTTAGTTTTGGACGTCCTAGGTCCCTGGACCCTACCAAGGTGGCTTCCTAATTCCAAATTTTAGATACATTCTAAACCACCTTTTTACGGGTATATTCTTATGAAGTAATGACTGAATTTGACTCTGACCTTCACCCGGTTAAGTTAGTATTAGGCCAACCAGGCACGACAGTCGTTATGATCGTATATGATAGGAAATAGGTCAGGAGCTCGAATCCACGAGCTCCCCGCTCAAGTCACACATCCAAATACTCGTCGGGAGACTGTTCCGATACAATAGTGGTAGCGAATGATTGCCGCTTCGAACTGCCGGAGAACCTCATACGACTATTGCGGGAGAAAAACTCAGCCACCCGTATTTTCAATCGATATGACGCAAGATGCGCCAGTTTACCCCACTTTCAGGAGAGGTCAAAAAGCGCATGCCGGAGCTAAGGAGGAACAGTTTTGCTTATGATTCTAGTTGCGATATTTAATGCCCTTTCATACTATTAGCAAGTTCAACGGATGCTTCAACATGTATAGGAGCATCCACAAATATTTCCTCTTTGATGTGCATTGAATAACCGACACGCTATGGCAAATACGAAATAACAAATAAAATAAGAAATATTTGTAGAAATATTTTGAAAATATCTCCCACATATAGTATTTGAGGATCTTTACAAACATTTACACACATGTCTGGGACCGGCTTAAGTTCTGAGTTCATGTTTCTAGTATTTGGAGGGAGACTTAAGTTGTTTATTTTAAACCATTGCAGATTTTTATAGGCGTTTCACCGTTTAATTAGGTCATTTGTTGCCACATGATTACCTGCTTGTCATTTAAAAAGATACCGATTTTGTGATTTCCTTTCCGATTTTGTGCCTTCAATTCGGGATTACCTCGTGACAATCTCGAAATCATAAAAAGCACAGTCAAAAACCTTTAATTGCCATGTGCCTTTTAGCGGGATCTCTCTTTCTATTTAATTTTCCCCTTTCGGGAATGTCTTAGTCGTTTTTCATCTACTTATGGTAATTACTCTCTGATCTTATTAACAGTTTTATATAAACTTTTAAGAATTTTTATCAACTGGCTTACATTCAACGCTCACCCTAGATAGGTACTTAGTCAGCTCAGCATTAATTGTAAAGAGTAGAAATAATATTTTATGAAATGAACATTATTTGCCCAAGATAATCACATGTAATGCTCTTAAATTTAATGATTGTTTTCAGATTCTTATGCATAGTTTTAACTGCTGCATAATTCTCCTTTACCTGCAAAGCCTATGATAAGTTTGGGGCCACTATATCAAAACTTAAATGAGGCTAAATTACATTAATTACAGTGCTAGTCTAGATTACTGATGTTCCGGATATCCGTATCCGTATCCGCTACATTTTTGACGGATCTTTACCCTTATAATCGTAATAAAATGATAACTCTAATTGAGTAAATTAATACACTGTGACACTAAAAGTGTTAACTTTTGATTAAAAACACAGTGACAATTAAAGGAACGGTAAATTTTACTTCAAAAAGACTAACTTGGCAGCTGTATCCCCTAAAAGTCATGATGAAAAAGGAACATGTGCGAGCAATGTAAATATTTTCGGATACATTTTTTACGTTCTATAGTCTCAAACTAAGCAACGCTTGTACTATGGGTACTAGAAAACGGATAGACATACTTAAACATAATTTCTTTTGTAAATAAATACATATTATACATTTATAGACACCCAGACACTGGCAAAACACTATGTTCATCACACAATATTTTTGCAGTAGTGGGGATCGAACCCACACCCTCTGGCGCAAGAGGCAGATACACTACCTACTCCCCAAGCCAACCGGGTTGTCAAGTCGTATGACTGAGACTTCCAAACTTTTTACTGTTAATTTGCGAATACTTTAGTAGATCGTAGTTCTCTTGATAATCTTTTTTCTGAGATATACTGTATGAAGTGAACCAATGAGTTTTCGTATATAATATATCATCATCATCACCACTATCTAACATGTTAGCCATACTCTTCTAGACTGGCAAAAATCATTGGTTTGTCCTTAGTACTTTTTGTAGTTGCTGTGAGATTTACTTCATTTTCCAAAGTTGTACGCAATTTTATTTATTCCTTTGACCCGTGGGTGTAAAAATGTGGCTATTTGAAACAATTTTTTTTATCAATTTTTGAAAAACTAAAATCTAATTTATCTTTCGAACCAAACATAAAATCAAGGACGGTGGATACACTAATGTTGAGATTTTCCAGGATATGAAGTTAAGATCCGTATCCGTATCCACAATTTTAATGATCCGCCAAAAGATAAGTAAGATTAAGATAAGTAAGATTCAATCAATACTATAAATAAAATAAAACATTACACAGCAGCACCATTTTTTATTTCTTAATTTTTACAAATACAAAATTTTAAAAGATGAGTAATAGTAATAACAAACTTGTTGATAAAATAATTTCGATAAAATTTGTCTTTTGACTAGAAATCTGTTATTGCGATTCATGTCATATCAATATGAAACATTTTGTTGTCAAATGACAAATTTTAGTACTCATTGGTTTAAAAAAAATTACCAAAAATAAATGACTGTATAAAAGTTTTCAATTTAATATATTTTTTAATAATATTGTCTAAAGTAAATTAGTACTAGTATAAAGCAGTCCAAATTTATAAAAATAATAACATACTGGTGTAATACACTAGAGATATTTTAGGTCATTTAAAAAATTAACGGGCGACTAAGTTGTATTGTACAAGATTTCTGTAAAAATACTAATTTTAGTTAGACTAGGATTTAATACAACAAGATATTTAAGACTTCAGTAAAAAAGGTCTTTTTTTAAACTTTAATATCTCTTTTTAATGTTGCATGCTTAAAATTTAACATTATAGTATTCTACTTAAGTACAAAACATTTGACTGTTATAATGTTCATCTGTTCCCTTCAAAATTAATATTATTGGGAAGAATTATAAAAATACTCTTACTACACTTATATATCCTTATTTAACATTGATAGATCACAGCTGAGATAGGACCAGTTGAAGGTAAACCATTTTTGGCATAACATTGCTCCAGTCCCTTATTATTCAACTATCACTGAACACCTGGTAACAAGTGCAATTCTTTAGAGAGTATATTCATTATATTAAGAGATCTTCTTCCCAATCTTCTTTTTCCCTTTCGGACACTGACACTGATGGTCTTGAAAGTTGTTTTAGTTCATCTTGTATTCTTGGCGGTATGGGGTTATCGCTAAGATCAACATATTCAAGAGCCCTGGATCTGGCTAATCTGTCAACATCCACTTCTGTAAAACATAAATTAAAATAAAACAGAAGTTGCAAAGTTCTTATAGTAAAATACATTTTTTTTAGACATTCTTTATCCTAGTTACAGTTAAAACAGTAAATTAATTCTAATTACTATAGCTTTAAATTTCACTTTAAACTAAAACTTAACAGTTTAAATTACCTTAATCATGTTACATAAGAATAAGTAATCAAGTACCAATAATGTGATTGTGGTGCGCCAAAAGTGTGTGAAGACTGGGACACTGACAGGCTATGTGTGGGAGGGCTACAAAGGTATTATGAGATATATCCAGCCTTTGCAGACAAGCAAGTGTGCACAACTCATCTGGTAGTCTTGCCATTTGGTTGTTTGACAAATTTAAATCTGAAAAAAGATATTTACTATACTAATTTATACAAATATTAATTTCTAATAAGAATTAATAAATACCAATAATATTTTTTGATAAGATCTGTCAAAGCATATTGAACTTTTTTTAAGTTGGTCTACTTTGTTGTGGTACAAAATGTGGACAAGAAAACAATCACAAGAATGTGCAAGGTCTGTAACAAATCTCTAGTATCTTATTTATTTACACACAACCATGTACTCTATCGCCCATAGTCTGTGTTTAATTTAACTGATATGCCTTGTATTCTATAAACTTGTAAATGTAATGTCACTAGCTGACCCGGCAAACATTGTTTTGCCATATAAATTATTTGTAGGGTAGAAAAAAATGTTTGGGGTGGGCCACCCTAAACATTTAGGGGGATGAAAAATAGATGTTGTCCGATTCTCCACCCTGGCCAATATGCACACAAAATTTCACGAAAATCTATCAAGCCGTTTCGGAGGAGTTCAATTATAAACACTGTGACACAAGCATTTTATATATTAGATAATAATATTAAAACTTTGTGTGTATATTTTGGCAATGTTGATAATACCACCATTACCATATTATAATACCAACACATTTAAGTCCTAACTATTTCAATTAGTCAGCTCTCAGCTGTCAGACGATTTAGACTAGAACATCGCAGCATCAAATAAAATCCGTTCATTCATCCAAATTGACAAACATGAATCAATGTTGACGAAAAAACCTTCTACGACCTATCGCTAGTCTTCGTCGCTTGCTTGCATGGATGGAATTTAACACGCTGATCATAGCGCGAGAACTACCGAATGCATTTTCGGTTTCGGTTGTAGTTTCGGCAGATTTGGCGCCGAAACCGAAACTAGTTTTTTTGCCGAAACTCAACCAAAACCCAAATCGAACAGTCGTTCGGACACTACCTCTACTTTTCACCATTTTCTTTTAATGACTTATCCAAGCAGCTAAGTTGACACTAGTATAATTTGTTAATAGCTTTGTAATATTTTCAGGTTATGGCAGATTTAAAATTTCTGCTTTGTCAATATTTATTTTAATTTATTTATGTTTTTGAAAAGGGTTCCATAAAATATGTTGATTTCTTACTGGTGATGAAAGGCAGTTTGCTCAACTTTTTTCAACTGCTATTTTTGAGACTCTTATAATAATAAAATTAAAAAGCTAGAAACAATTTAATAAGTTAACTAGAATTTAATTGGGCTTAATTAAAATGGTTGGTTACATAATATATTGAATTATATATTTAAGATGGACATATTTCATCATATTTCAATTCCAACCTACCTGTGATTAAACTAAATTTTACTGTGAACTTTGGTGGTATTTTAGTTATTACGTTCCCGCTAAGGTCGCAACTCTTTAGTTCTGTGTGTCTCATCAAATGATATACTGCATCAGGCACTTGCATTAATTGGCATTCTGATAAATCTGAAACAAGTGAAAAAGGTTAGATTTTTTATACATAGATTAATAAAAACCATAATTTCATTACCATATAAACTGTCCATCCCCAAAACCCATTATAACCGACTGGTCGACATTTTGATAAAAAATTATCAGTGACTCTTTACAACACTTGGTGTATTTTATTACATCAAATAAGATTCATAATGACTTGATATGTAAGCTTAAATTACAGGTCATTTTAAGACAGTTCATTTCAATGCATACCCAATACGGAGGTTTCTTGTGCAGTTTCGCATCTTGCAATTACTCGAGTAACTGCTTGAGCCATTATAGTATTTCAATCACTACAATAAAATTTGTACAATTTCGATATTAGTTATTACTGGTAGTTTCACCTCTACAACTGGCAGGTCCTATTTATAAGTTGTCTATCTACAACTACTACAATCCTACACACATTGAATTTTAGTACCTATTTATAGGATTTGATGATTGATTACAGATTTACATAAATGGCTATACTTATATTACAGTATATAGTGGTACTTATTCTTGATAACAGAAAATCAGAAAAAAAAAAACAGCAAAACCAATATTAAATATTCATTTTTGGGAGTAAAAAAAATTAAACGTCAAAACAAAAGAAAAAAAAAAAAAACAGGTTTAAGTATGGTCAACAGCAACATCGCCAGGATTCAGTGTTGCGAACTCGGAATTTTTTTTGTCTGCTAATCTGCTAATGATGAAGTTATCCTAGTAAAGCATCAAGGAAAATATTTTTTGACAGCTTCGCTGAATAACTATGATACCATGAACTTCCCTGCATCTCCGCAACCATTGTTTTAAAAAAATATGGACAATTCGACCAGTCTGGCGAAACTAGGAACAAAAAATTTTTCTATGGACTTTACGCGGCAAATAATGGCGGACATTGCTATCACTCTCACTCAATGCGGTTTCTCTTTCATGCAATACAAGAAGTGCCATGTTGTTGTTAATTTTGCACCGCATATTTTGAATGTAAATGCTTATTTCATTGTAAATTTAAATTGTTTAGAGTAAACTTTCTCACGAAAACTAGTGACAGGTGATCAGAGTTGTACTTTTAATTAAAAATGCCAAAAAGACGGTTTATTACCTTTGAAATTGCTGAAAATCGAGCAAGTCATTTTGAACCTTGAAAAAAAGGATGTTTATGGCGAGATTTCCCTTAGATGAAGCCCATGTAAGCACTTAATTATGATACTTTGCAGCCATATGTAAGTAGAGCAGAGACAAGAACAAGAGCAAGAGCTAAGAACAAATAAAATTAACAAATTTATTTAATTTAAATTGTGTGCTAGTGATGTACTACAACTGTAATATCCACATATCGATCCAACTACGTTAATGTTTATCATTGAAAAAAAAAAATAAGAAATAAAATGTTGCGTGAAAGAGTAGGGACATAAAGTTTTACATATTTGAATGGTGTGCCTACATAAATGATCAAGGATCGGAATAGGTAAATTTTGCAGGATTTTGAAACATAATCTCTTCTTGTATCTTGTATTAACTGATGTTTTTGCTTTCAGTCCCGAGACTATTAAAGCTTCATCGGACGCAGAACCGGTGGGCTAGCCAGAACCCACGGGTTTGGACCCTCCGCTATGGGTAGGGTCGCGCATGTGCTCATGCGTGCGTTTAACTACTATGGTGTGTCATCTAAGGGTCGTCGAGGTCGCGGTTCGGACCAAGACCCCGACGGCCGTCGACTGTGCAATTAGCTAATCGGTGGCTGGGAGCGGTGAGAACCGCCCCGGAACGCGGGTGTACTTTGTGTACGCGTTGTGTGGGTCTCGCCGTGCTCGGAGGCGAGGGCGAACTGGTGTGATTGTTGTTACACTGACTGTGGGTGTAGTGTTATCCGGCGGGACCCCCGGCGGTGGGTCCATCGTATCTAAGTCCTCTTCGTCGACCGGGTCGATGAGGACGTTTCGCGGGCGACGCTTGTTTACGTTCGCGTTAGTGTCCGGTTGGTAGTTTGCTGCGCTTACCACCAGAGGGTTGGGATGATGCTGGACTCTATCGAAGAACCGTTTTGTCAAATCTTTAAAATGTGCGCGAATCGTCGGGAGTCTGCAATCGCTGTGCAGGTCGACGTTGCGCTGATACCACTGCGCACCGGTTGCGCGGCGGATAAACTTATTTTGTACTATTTGCAACTTGTACAAGCGAGTAGGGTGCGTGTGGGCGAAGATCATGCATGCGTAGGACATAATAGGTCGTACGCAGGTCTTATATAATAATAATTTGTGCCTTAAGGGCATTTTACTTTTAGCATTAGTTAAATTGTGTAGCCGGCCGGAGACGAACGCGGCTCTATTACGAACGTTATTAATGTGCGTAGTAAATGACATACGCGAGTCGAAAGTGACTCCTAAGTATTTGACCTTTTTCTCCCAGGGGAGCGGTTGGCCATAAAGGGATATTTGCCCCAACCTTCTGCATTGGCAAAGGCCATTATAAAGATGTGACGGGTAGGTACTTCGTGTGAAGTGAATCGCCACACTCTTTTCGGGATTTATTTCTATTCTCCATTTGCGGAACCAATCGCCGAGGCGGTCGGCGGCGCTTTGTGAGAGGCAGGAGCCTTGTGGTACGCCGGCCGTGAGGCGGCGGCTTGTGGAGAGGGTGGCCTCGACTCGATATCGAAAAGAGCGGTTCAACAAAAAGGCCCGGATGATGTGTACGAGCCTATCTGGCACTTTGAGTGTGTACAGCTTGTAAAGCAAGCCGTTGTGCCAGACTTTGTCGAATGCTTTTGCGACATCGAAGAAGAGAGCCCCTGTGCTGATGTGTTTGGGGTGGTTTAGGCCTTTTAGGATGTGCTCCGTTAGGCGGTATAACTGGTTGGGACATGAGTGTCTAGCTCGAAAGCCGAATTGTTCCGTCGTCAGAAGGCCGTTGGAAAATACGTGCTCTTTGAGCCTGTTTAACAAGAGCCGCTCGTAGAGCTTCCCCAGGCAACTGAGGAGGCTGATGGGACGATAGCTAGAGGGCTGATTAGCTGGTTTATTCGGCTTGCGAATGCCGATAACCGTGGCTTGCTTCCAGTCGTCCGGAAAGGAGCAACTGGAGAGAAGGGTATTGAAAATGGTCGCTAGTAAACAGATAAGCGGCCCAGGGAGAGCTTTGAAAATCTTATTACTTATATTATCTGGGCCCGGGGCGGATTTTGGTTTTAAATTTTTAATAATATCTTGGACCTCTTCGGGGGTCACTGAATTTAAAGGTTCGCCTTCCGGTGGAAGCGCAGCCCTAGTCTCGATTACGTGGTCCACCTCCGTTAGGTGGACTGAATCGGTGTGTTCGCGCGATGGCGTACATTGCTGCTCTAGGTTGTCCGCAAGGCATTCGGCTTTTTCGGAGTCATCTAGGGCTACTGAAGCGCTATTAGGTCTAACTAACGGTGGTAGAGATTCGCGGGGGTCTGCTTTCAGACTGCGGGCCAACCGCCAGTAGGCGGTGTGCGATGGCTCGATGTTCTCTAGGAGAGTGTCCCACGTTGTGTGTCGGTGTTCCGATACACGATCTTTGACTTCTAGCTGAAGGCGTCGAAGTAGGGTTCGGTTCGATTCCGATCGGTATCGGTCGAAGGCGCGTTTGGCTGCATTTTTCTGTCATCGGTCGGGCGGAAAGTTAAACCGTCGGTCGCCCGACAGTTTCACCGTCCATTCAGTCTGTGACTGCGGAAGTAATAGTTTCTCGGAGACTCGCTATCGCTCGATTTGCGTCATCGAACGTAGCTATCGTCTCGGGTAAGTCTACTAAGTCCTGGGGGTCCAAGGCCTTGCGTTTGACCTCAAGACGATGCCAGTCCACTACGGATTTGGTCGGAGGGACCGCGCCGGCGTTCTGGCCCAGTTTACACAGGACGGGCCTGTGGTCTGAGTCTAGTTCATGGATTGTCTCTATCGACTCGATGTCGAGCGAGACTTTCCTGAATAACATGATGTCTAGGACACTCGGTGACGCGTGGTGGTAGTTGTCCACCGTAGGATACCTAGTGGGAGTCGCGGGAGCGACTATGCTAAAGTTTAGGTTATCGGATAAGCTAAAGAGATGCTTTACGTTGTTATTTGGGATGCTGTTGGTGTCCCATGAGCCGTGTTTGCAGTTTAGATCTCCTGCAATTATCACGGAAGGGCCTAAGTTAAGAAGCGTATCTAGGTCGCTTTGAAGTAAGGTTCTATTCACCGAGAGGTAGGCTGAGACTAGTACAAGCGGCCTGTGGCCGGTGAGCGCTAACCTACACGCGGATGCCTCTATTTGGCTTAGCTCTGGAATGTCGAGCGGGCAACAGTGCAAGGACCGTTTATAATAAATTACTGTGCCTCCCAGACGGTTTGCTAACCGGTCGTGGCGGACAATATTGTAATTTGCGATTCTGGGATCGCGTACACTAGGTTTCAAGAATGTCTCTTACACTAGAATATCTACATTGTAGTCGCAAAAGAGAAATAGAAAAAGAGTAGTAGAAAAATATCTACATTGTAAATTCCGCGATTTCGTCCCTTTGACCCTTTATGCCGTTTGCGTTGAAATACGAAACAACCAGAGCCCGAGGTTTTGTTCTACCTGCGGTTGTACTTCCCATTAAGGTGTTTTTATGGGTCTAATTAACGACGCGGCGCAGCGCGGTTTTATTGCGCGGACTATTGTCTTTTACGGTTGGCTCGTAAAAGCCCAAAGGGCTTCCACAAGCGTTTTATGTTGGCTAATTGCCCTAAGACGCTCGTTGCCAGATGTGGCGGCCGCTATTTTAGCGGACAATACGGCGAGTTCCTGCCTATTGATCCTATCTAATAGGCTGCAGATGTTTGCGATTTGCGCGAATGGGTCGTCCTTGTTTTCCGCGAAAACTGACGGAGTTGGCTGCACCTGCGGCCGCGGCGCCGTTTGAGAGGCGGGCAGCTGTTGTGCGATCGGTCGTGAGGCGACCGGGATTACCGGCGTGGTTACCTGCGCGGCCACCTGCG